AGTAATAATGGCTGTGATACTGTAAATTTATTTGCTGATAATTTATCTACAGTTTATGTCCAGACTGATTGTAATGTACCTGTATTAAACTATGAGAAAACCATTAATGTAAATAATGTAAAAGTGACCTTGAGCGAAGTTTTTTCTAAAATTTCTCAATTAAAAGACAGTTTCTCTTGTGGTCCAGATGGAGTTCCATCTTACTTTCTAAAGAGATGTGTCTGTACTGTTAGTACTCCTATTTCTATTATTTACAATATTTCCCTTGATTCAGGAGTATTTCCGGATTTTTGGAAATACAGTTTTATAAGACCAATTTATAAATCGGGATTTAATCGTGACATTAAAAATTACAGAGGAATATGTTTGAAATCTAACATTCCAAAATTTTTCGATTCACTCATTACATAATATTTGTCATGGGAATGTAAAGAGCTAATAATTGATCTACACCATACCATGGTTTTTCACAAGGAAAATCTACAGTAACTATCAAAATGAAATATTGAGTGCTTTTGAAGGGGGATATCAAGTACATTCTGTCTATACTGACTTCTCAAAAGCATTTGATAGAGTTAACCATGAATTGTTGATCGCCAAGTTGAGCTCATATGGTATCAATGGTAAACTTTTAAATTGGCTATCTAGTTTTTTAATTGGTAGGTATCAGTGGGTCAAAATTGGGAATCACATTTCTTATTTGATTGAAGTATTGTTTGGTGTTCCTCAAGGATCCCATTGTGGTCCGCTTCTTTTTAATCTATTTGTAAATGACATTGCATGTTGTATAAAAAAGTCTCAGTTCCTACTATTTTCAGATGATTTAAAAATCTTTAAAATTGTTGAAAGTATATCTGATTGTTTTGATTTACAGACTGATATTAACAACCTAGCATTGTGGTGTAATGTAAATTGTATGAATTTGAATTTAAGTAAATGTTTTTATATTAAGTTTAATAGGTGCCATACTAATATAGACTATACTTATTGTATCAATTCATTAGATCTTGAATTGGTGACCCAAATAAAGGACCTTGGCATAATGTTTGATGAAAAACTTACTTTTTCAGAACACATTACAATGATATCATTAAAAGCCAGAAAGTTGTTGGGTTATATACAAAGAATCTCTAATGGTCTCTCAATAAATTCTTTTAAAATTATTTACTGCACTCTTGTTCGTTCTAATATGGAATATGCAGCTGTTGTCTGGAACCCTTATTATTGCATTCACATTAATAGACTTGAAACGGTTCAACATAAGTTTCTGAGATGCTCAGCATATAAATTTGGAGTGCATATAAATAATTACGATTATGATTATGCTAACCTATGTTCCAGATTAGAGATCACAACTTTGCAGAACCGGAGAACTCAATTAGATCTATGCTTCCTTTCATACTTTTGTCTGGGTCAATATATTCTCCTGATATTTTATTAAAAGTTGGTCTTAAAATTAATAGTGCAACCAGAGCTAATGAAACTTTTTTTATTAGACACCATAGACAAAATTACGGCTTTTATAGTCCATCAACACGATTGGTTAGGAGTGCTAACAGTATAGAAATAGACTTGGATTTTTTTGGTTCGTCATATCGTTCATTTAAAAGAAGTATTGCTAACCACTTTCTTAATGACACTTGAAAGTACTGTTATTGTCTACCTTGTTAATCAAATGTTTTAATCATATGTTTTAATCAAATGTTTTACATGATACAATTTTTGATGTTGTTTTTTATTTTGTATTTGTGCATATAACATATATTTTTATATTTGTTGTTGTAAAATGGGGTTTTCCCGTAAATAAATAAATAAACAACAAATTTTTTGTTGTATTAAATAAACTGAAATTTCCCCATTCTTTGCTTTTCGAGGGTACTTTCCTCTTTTCTTCCCTGTACGCGCTATCTTTAAACTCAATTTTAACTAGTATAAGGCGCTTTATTTTTGCCTGTTCAGACCCATGGCTGAATTCTGTAGGTATGTAGCTACACTTTGCCGCATCTAACTCGTTTTGTCTAAAAATTGACATTCCCCCTTTCTCCCATGTGCTCTTCAATTGCAAATAACTCAAAAAACATTTTCTAAAGTACCTACATACCGAAATAATACTCAATAATACATATTCAAAAAAATATATTTTTAAATGATGATATTATGTACCCCGTAAATAATATAGGCACCCACACCTGAAATTTCCGTGTCGATTGCGATTATACTATAGACACTTTTGCCGTTCCTCTCTCTTGATTATTTCCTTAATAGCCCTGGCTCTTATCTATGTAATATTCTTTTAACAGGATATGGTTTGGAACAATTCCTGCTAGGACCTGTGTTGCTTGAAGGGACACGGTTCTATAACGTTCAGGTATCTGGAGGGGCCTTTCTTCTCTGGACTGTTTCCATTTTTGCTTACATTGGTCCCACTGATGTTGCTCAGTATAACAAAACCGAGTGCACTATTCCACACAGGACTTCTATTTTTTGGCTTTGAGCGTCAGTCTGCTGAATTTTCCGATCCTCTCATCTTCGTTATTTGTTGCTTCCTCAATGTCTCCCAAAGTTTAATCTATCGGCAATTTATTATTGTAATAATGCTTTCAAGGCCGGCGTCAATGTAATTGTTTGTTTCCGGGCTATTATGCCGTGGTCTTTCTTGGTTATTACTACCAAACGTTTCAGCTGCAACTGCGGCAGCCATCTTCAGTGGCGTGGCTGAAGTACTCTTCTTGACGTATCTACTGAAACTGACCACGGCATAACAGCCCGGAAACAAATAATTACATAATTTTATTAAGTTCAGTAATGTACAATACGAGTTGGGATGTACACCTACATGAAGCAGTTAAAGGAGTATTTTACTATTAATTAAAATGAAAGATTATTTTATCTTTTAAAATAATATCTTATCTCTCAACTTATTTATTTGATTCCTTTTTTGCCATAACAGACATGAAAAATAAAACAATTATTCTAATAAAAAATTAAAGTAACTACAAAAAAAACTAACTGAAAATTAAACACTCTTGTCAAATGAAAAACAATGCAAGAGTGGTTCGAAAAACCATCAGCTTTGGTTAAAAAAAACAAACCTATTATACAATTCTATTCTCATAGCATTGAGTTGCTCAGGTGTAATTTGAGCACTGAACTGTATAATTTTTTTACGTAATTCACCCAAGTTGGTAGCTTGTTCAAACTCAAACCTGCATTAATGGCTTTTAAGTATTTCCCAAAAATAAAAATCAAGCCACGCAGTCTGGTGACCGTGGGGGCCATTTTATAGTGCATCTGGTACCAATAACTCGATTGGGAAATTGTTAATTTAGGTAGGTAATCTATGCATTATTTTGTGTACATCCGCCCTGTTGGAACCAAATGTCATTGAAATTAACTTGAAGATTTCTGTCGGCAAGAATAATGTCATTTTGAAGTAGTTGTAAATACTTCTGGGCATTCAGGTTACACTAAATGAAAAAAGGACCGATGACATTATCCTCCAGGATTCCCGCAAAGATATTCAGTTTTTGTGGATATTGTGTGTGTACAGCTACACTTAAGGTGATTACAGCACCCCTTATAATTTTCGGACAAGGATATTTTAAAAAGTAATTATGTTAAAAAATTAAAATTTTGGCAAAATAAATTAGGCAATAATATCTAGAATATGCATATATTTTAAAGTTTTAATTCCTTCCTGTTTCCGAGAAAAAAATCAAATGACTTTAAATTTTGAAATGAGAATAAATGCATTCCTCAACAGCACTAGTTTTATTATAATCCCAAAATTTAAGCTCTTAATGTCTTGGTAATGATTTTTTACCATTTGCCAAAATTAAAAACAACTTGTTAAGTGCTATCTTCTGATGTAAACTGATGTAAATCGTTGCAAGAAACGAATGATGACTGAGGGTGTACGATACGATAGTTACAGGCGCGTTACACCAGAAGGCATCACTTAACGAGGTATTTTAGCCACTAATTTTGGCGAATTTAAAAAAAATTTTAACAAAACATTAAGAGCTCAAATTTTGGGATTGTTTTAAAAATAGTGCTGTTGAGGAATGCATTTATTTTCATTATATTTCAAAATTTAAAACTCTTTTTTTTCTCGGAAACTGAAATGATTTAAAGCTGTAAAATATATGCATATCTAGATATATTACCTAATTTATTTTCCCAAAAAGTGGTGCTGTATTCACCTTGTGTTTATTCTCCTGCGACCAATAGCGTAAAACGGATGGATTATGTTTTCTATGAAGAGTGAAAGAAGAATCGTCTGTAAATAAAATATTTTTCATAATATTAATATTTTGGTTATCAGTAAAAAAAAATTGAGTGGTATGTACGCCTTAAAAGAGGAATACCCGTTTCTTTTTAAAATATTTCATATCCGTCTCTCCTTCAAGCCAACTTCAGCGGCAATTTCTCTACTTGATGTGTAACTTCAGCTAACGCACAGACTTGCATTTCCATAATTTTCTGTTCCTCCGTCAATTGATTTCGACGTGGTTACCTAGAGGGACAACACTTTTTGCAATTATTAACGGAGCCAAAATCATCAAATTTTGCAATAATTGCACCACGAACTCATTATCCGTGGGAATTTGCCTTTTTTCAAATGGAACTGAAAATAAATTTATAATATCTTGAATGGAATGACCCCCATAGTTCCACTTCACTGTTTGTATTTTTTCACGAGTGGTATAGACAACGGTTGGCATATTAATACCAAACTATTTTAAAATGAAAACCAGAATCTCTTGCTATTGACTCTGTCTAGTCTAGGCTGAATTTGTTTCGGAGTCAATGGATGAGATCGGTCGGCGTCGCAAAGAATACATGGAATACCAACGCTCTTCTGCTGTCTCTCTTATTCTCGTTTCATATGAATAATCTTCTTTCTGTTGCTCTTTCTAGTGTTGCACTATACTTAAGAAAATTTTAAGCCTAAACTGTGTATTGATTAATTAATAAGTGCATTGTTTTTATTTCCGCAGGTTACACTGTGAATATGCCAGCTCACCTATTTGGAAGCGCAAAGGTAACAATGGCTCCGAGTACGCAGAACCAGCTTTAGAAACTAGTCTTGGAAATATATCTAATGTTAGTTCGTCCACTTACACTTTAGTAGAAAGAGCAGCTGAACAACAAACCCCAAATAGTTATAAAATTTCGGAAACTATTCGTAAGCGACAATACCGCGTTGGTCTAAATTTGTTTAACAAGAAACCAGAGAAAGGAATCGCGTACCTTATACGAAGAGGTTTCTTGGAAAACTCACCTCAAGGTCAGTATTTTTTAATAACCATACAATAATTGTATTATAAAAGATAAAAAAAGCAGTTCCTATTGTATTGCTCCCTTTCATCTCTTAGTCCCTCTACAATTATTATTTGATAGCAAAGGCGGCTCGTGACCAAAATTTTGGTGGTTCACTGTTAGATCCCGGTACAAATATAGCTAAAAACTGTCAGTGTTTTAGAAAGGTATATTATAAACTTTCTAAACCACTGAATGTTTTTTCATACATCTGTACTGATACCCATATTCTGTTACTGTGAACCACCCCACGAGCCGCCACTGTTTGATAGGAAATAACGTGTTGGTTCCAATCTTACAGAAGACCATTTGAATTGTTCGTTACATGGTTCGGTTGATTTGGTGGGTGGTAACATTATTAGTAATTTTATTTCAGTTACAAAAACTACACTTACGTGTGCCTTTGTATTTTTAAATAGAATTTTTGCACGAAATACAAGTTTTCTTTGCTGATCTAAGCTACGTGCACGTAGCTGTTCCTTTATTATCTATTGTTTTTCATTTCTAATAGCATGAACCACAGTGTCTCTATGTCAGTGCTGATAATTGTAATAATTTGTAGGTGTAGCGAGATTCCTTATATCCCGCAAAGGCTTGAGTAAGCAGATGATCGGGGAGTATTTAGGGAATTTGCAGAGTCCCTTCTGCATGGCTGTGTTAGAATGTTTTGCTGGTGAACTCGATCTGTCTGGAATGCAAGTCGACGTGGCGTTAAGGAAATTCCAACAACACTTCCGGATGCCCGGGGAGGCGCAAAAAATTGAAAGGTTGATGGAAATATTCTCTCAAAGATACTGCCAGTGCAATGTTGATATTGTTGGAAGATTGAGGTCGCCAGATACGGTATGAACATTTTTTTTTTAATATTTTTGAAAGGTATATAATAATAATAATATCGCTTTTATTGACATTTAAATACATAAGAACAAAATATACATTTTAATAGTAGGTTATATACAAAATTATGTCAAAAGGCAGAGTTTGGAATTAAATTCCAATCAACCAGATTTAAATTAAAATTAAATTATTTACTTATTTTTTATATGTAGAACTCTTAGAACTAAATAATGAAAAGTGAATAAAAAAAAATGACAAAAAAAATAACATAAGAAATAGTGAAGACAGAGTTAAGGTAGTTCACTCGCGACAGTCGTACACAAAAATATTGCTTAATGGTGAATACCAATAGTTCGAGATTCTCAATGCTAATCAATTTTATTTTTGTAAGAAACTGTACAAAACACATGTAAGCTTATATATATGGATTTTAATAAAATCCATCCGGCAACCTCATAAATACATGAATGGTTTGCTATTCGCGATTCAAGCTAAGTGATACGCCCTCTGGAGGAAATTAGTAGATGGTCCCTATAAGTAGGATGACGTTCAGTGTTGCCAGAAGCAGCAAAATTTCGTTACGTCGTCGGATTTTAGTTCTTGAAGAAATGGATAAGACCTTTTATTTAAGAATCAAAATTTGTGTCTAGTAATATGTAATCATACTCTATATTTATCTAAGGATTTTTTTATAAAATCGATTTATTATATTGATTTTTTTTTAAATTTCAGTTCATTTATTAATTTTAGTTTTAAAATCAGTCAGAGACAAAATCAGTTCATCATTTGGCAACATTGGCGTTCGTGTTCATTGTTTACATTTTAATTTGTATCAATTACAATTAGGGTCTATTTATACTCCCTTATTATTAGTATTTGCATTAGTATTATGATTAAGCATTAAGTTGAACCTTCACAATGTAATGGGAACATTTATACTCGATTTATGATTAGTATTAGCATTAATATTTATGCTTAATAATTGACAGGTTCAACTTTTAAATTAAATATTAAATTTCTTCTTTTCTATAAAATGAATCAATGGCGTATTTGGCCTTTGTTTTTAATAGACAACGGATAAGGATAATTGACAATACACATATGATTATGTTGTTTATTTGTTTGTTCCAACAAGCTCGAAAACGATAATATTTCGGTACAAATCATGCTCTATATACAATTTTTGTGTATCAGCAGTGTTTACCGATTATAAAGTTGACAAATGACATGTCACCATGAGGAAGCAAAGGCCTCTTTTCTGTCTGATTTGTATCAAATTTCTGCTTCTTTTTATCTGTTATAAATTTGAGACTTAAATCCGTTAAAATGTCCTTATATAAACCTATTTTTAAATAATATTAACTAATTAACTAGTAAAAATATTAATAAAAACACATTTAAAACTCAAATATCTTAAAAGAACACAACCGGCCTCTTACACATTTCTTCAGTAACCATATATTTTGTTGACTGCAGAATTATATCTTATTGGGTATTAGGTTTAAAAAAGAATTACTAATACTAATTATAAAACGAGTATAAATACCTTTTTTGAATGATTTAACAAATTTAATGCTTAATCATAATACTAATACAAATACTAATACTAAGGGAGTATAAATAGACCCTTAGAGTTTTTTTGTTACTTTTTAGCTTTAAATTTGTTTATTTCTTATAGCATGTGATAGTATTTAAATTAAAAATGAAATCTGCGAAAAAGCCTCCAGCAAATTGCAATCTATATGGTGTTATTGTCAAAATCAAAACTGAAGTATTCATTATTTTTCAAGTGCAAGTCATAAAATTTTGTTTCTTACGATAAATGGGTATCTACAAATTCACAATATTGAAATTTTGCAAAACGTTGTTTAGAATCAAACTCCAATATGAGTTGTGACGGTTTTATTACCATTTACATGTATACAAAGTACTACACAATTCACTTCATGATATAAGAATAAGGATAGTAAGATTTTTAAAGAAGTTCATCAATAATAAACGTTTGGTACCTGATATGTCCTTTAAACCACATAATAAAACATGTCCTGGGTTTAGTAAATACATATTTCTAGATGTTCTTGTAGCAACCAATAGGTCAATATTTCCAACAAATTAGTTCATACTACACATGAAAAATATTACATTTATAACGAAAGCACGAAAACTAAACTTAAATTAACACTAAATGAAACTCAAAAAACACTATTATAATAAGAATTATCTAAAAACAGTTAAAAAATCACAAATACAAAATCTCACAACACGTAAATAAACAAACATCCTACTTATACGTGACAAATGACAGGCGCGCGAAAATTAATTTGAATCGCGAATAGAAATTTGTGACTTCCTCATATTAATTTTAAGGGTTTGTTTTGGTTCAAACAGAACCGCTGATTCCAGTTCTCAAATACAGTGGAAGAATTAATTTTTCAAGAAAACGTCGCGAGGTTATAACATCCTCTTAGCTGATCGAGTGTTATGTTGGCACAACGCGTTGATTGCAGCGTATACAACGTTGCCAAGTTGTAATAATTTTACGGAACTACGCGTCGATTGCTTTAAAAATATTTTTATTTTAAAAATGTATATCTTTTTACTAAGACGGTCAAAAAATTTAGTGTTTCTTTAGAAAATTTTATAACTTCTTGATTTACATTACATTAGTTTTTAAAAAATATGGTAAGAATCGTTTTCGAGATATCTTGAAATAAATGCATTACTTGTGTACATGAGAGGCTTCAAGGGTGTTAATTATGCACATTTTGATTGTTAATATCTCGTTTCACAGACGGTCAAAAAATTTAATTTTTTTTATTTACATAAAAGACACTTTGGCAGGGAAACCACGGTTGCGACATTTAAATTTTTGTCTCAAAAAAATTGTTAAAATTAACGTGTTTTTACAAGGCTAAAACTTTCAGGAAATATTTTTTCAACATGATTATAACTGCCAGACCATTCGGTGCCCACTAGACGAGTATACTGGGTGGGCTACTTCGCCATATTTTATATTATTTCTAATTGTGTTACTAATAACTCGTTTAAGGAAGAATATATGGGACATTACCTTAAAAAACTTTTTGTAAGCCTTAGTGTTCACATTGACACTAATCAAAATTATACCAGTGGCGTATCTTTAAATTTTTGTTATTAGTAAACTTCTTAAAAATTACATCTGTCCTTATCTTAGTCATTATTTGAGATATCGAATTGATTTTTGTTTTGTTTGAAAACTTCAAACAAAAACATTCTTAGAACAGATTCAATGTGACGAGAATACAGTGTGGCCTCTTCCTTTTTTGAAAAACTATAAGTTTCATAAAAAAAAGTATAAATTAAAATATAGTCCTACTTAATAATTCTTACTTTTTGTTATATCTACATAATGACTTATTAGTTATATACTGAGTTACATTTTTTAGACGGAATATCCTGCTTGCATATTGTTAAATTGTGCCTAAAAAGATAGATTGAAAATAGTATATTACATAACAAGTGTGGAAAGTAATATATGTATTGCGCACGAATAAAATTTAGCACGAGTCACGTAGCGGCGAGTGCGGAAACGTAACGAGTGCAAGGTATACACTTTCTAACGAGTTATGTACACTATTTTTCCTACAAAAATTTTAGAATTTTAAAATAAATATTTTTTAATTAACTGTGTGTCTTTATCGAACTTGCCAGTTACTCGCTTGGCTGGCTCTTCTCGCTCGGCTCATAATCTCGACTAATTCGATAAATAATCACTTTGCTTACTTGGTACATAAATAACCATTGTATATTTTTTTCAACGTTTAAGTCGTGCATTTCTGTACTATTTTCTATATTATCTGAGTATGTTTCCGCTAAAATTAGATTTTTTTCTGTTGAAGTTGAAGGACCTGTTATTGCCCCAACTATTTTCTCTGATATTTCCATTCGTTTTGCTATTGATTCTTCGATGCAAAATTTAAAGACTTCCAACGTCCATGCCGATTCAAAGAGGTGATGTTTTCACCCTGAGTCGACAAGTATTGTTGCAGACGATCGTCTGAAACAATGCCCAGTATACAAATAAGCTTTCCAAAACCTAGAACAAATTCGAAGAACAGCATGTCTCAACATAACAGGAGCCATAAAAACCATACGGACTAAAGCCATGGAAATCATTTTTAGTCTCACTCCCCTTGATATTTACATCAAGGAGGTTGCTCTGATGACAATGACACTACTCCGCACAGTTGAAATAGAACCTGATGTAGGGTATGGTAAGGCAAGATGTCGCTTGTGGCAGGAAGCGCTCGATACGCTGTCACTGCTTCAAGCGAGCATGGCCTCCATCTCACTGAGATATATCTTCCATAAGCCATATAAAGCTATAATAGAACAAATAAAAGAGCCGGAAGAGGCAGGTACGATTCATATCTACAGCGGGGTTCTAAAACAAAACAAGGCTCAGGATGTGGAATATACTCCAGATCCTTAAACCTAAACATAAAATTGACTGTGAGCAATTGTGCCAGTGTAGTCCAAACCGAGCTCACGGGTATTCTCATAGCAGCAAAAGAAATCACCAAAAATTTCTTTAGAAATTTGTGCCAGTAATCCTGCAATCACTTACGATTACAAGTAGTACATTTTGAACAATGACTCGATTTTTTATTGAGGCAAACTGAATTTGGAGTCTAGGGAGTCCAATCTCTAAAATCACTGGAAGAAACATGCACTACTCACTCTGGACAGACCATCAATTTATTCAGGGTTAGTACTAGAATGTCACGAAGCTTTGGCCGAATTATCCATCAACAATGTCGTCACCTTAAGATGGATCAAAGGTCACGCCACATCGAAAGGTAATCGTCTTGCTGATTCACTTGCCAAGAAGACAGCCAACCAAAAACTTTTTGGAACTGTCCCCTCTATTGGACTGACAACATCGGTAGTAACAAAGACGAACCTAATTAAAAAACATTCCCTTGTGAAATTCAAGGAAATATGGAATAAAACAAGAAGCTGCAGACTTGCCAGGGAGCTTTTAAGTTATCCTGACAACACTACAGCAAATAAATACTTGACTATGACTGGACAGGATCTGCTCCTGATCACGGGCATTCTGACTGGTCATTGCCAACTAAGGAAGCATATCCATATCATGGGGCTGGAAGAATCTGCACTCTGCAGAGGGTGCGAACAAGAAAATAAGACCATCGAGCATATCCTCTACGATTGCCCGACGCTCTCATTTATTAGAAGATTTGTGTTCGACGAGAATTGGCTAACACCGGCACCTCTTGGCGACGTTGTCAACTACATTAAATCTGTAGGCTGGCTCACGAACTAGGAGGTGCCTATCTACTTAGGAGGATGCACAATGGGCTTAGTGAGGCCTAATGCCGTGAGTTAACCCACCCTCCACAGGTTACAGATACAGAAGTGTTTTGAATTTTAAAAATTTCGCTACTTTTCGTGGTACATTAGCAATTTTATTTATTCCGACTACTTGCCTGGTGCATCTTGTTTTTTGATAATTTATAAAAAACTTTCATTCATGTTTGGCATTAAAATAAAGTATTTTTTAAATATTCCATAAAAATTGCCAGTAATTATTGTAAATTGTCTAGTTGCTTTGCTTTTGATATTTTTCAACGTAATTATTGCTGCACTTCCTAAGTCATTCATATCATCAATTAGTTATTGTTTAAGGCACGTATCTGATATTTCTATAACCTAAAATAAAGATTGAAAAAATAGTATAAAATATTAGGCCAGTAAGTAAAGACATACAAATCGAAAAAATTTAACATTAATTCTAACATTTTTTAAACTTTGTGGTAAGATAAAATTTCGAGAGAGAATCATAACTTAATGATTTTGCAACTCGATACAGGGCCGGAAACATTGTCCAAAATGACAAAAAAGAAAATTAATGAATTGCTGGTCGGTCAAATATGTAACATAGCTGCAAATTTGATATCATTTTCATTTAAATAATTAAGATCTAAAGCTGAATTTGCAACTACTTATGACTTTGGCATTGTAATTAATTGCTGTTAATTAACATTATTTGATCTCATTTAGCCGATATAATGGGCTGTTGTAAAATGAATAGCCTACCTAACTTACGAATGCCATCATTAGCAACTAATATTTGCTAATGTTATATTTTTGCCGAATCATTTTTAGGTAGATTAAAAAACGAAAATCCTTGTAAATTATAAAAAATGCATCGTGCTATCATCGGAAAGAATTGCAAATTTTCACAGGCATTTAAGGCGATATTAGCTAGTAATTTTGATTTTGCAAGCATGTTAATATTTTGATTACTAAATGAGATCAAATAATGTTAATTAAGAGCAATTAATGGCTTTGCCGGCGTCATAAAAGGCTGCAAATTTAGCTTTAGTTTTTAAATATTGAAATGAAATTGATATCAAATTTGCAGCTGTTATATTTTTGACCCTCCAGCAATCCATTATTTACGGTTTTTGTCATTTTTTACAATGTTGCCGACCCTGTATCGAGTTGCAAAATCGGCTAATTTCGATTCATTTGGTACTATATCTTACCACGAAGTTTAAAAAAATGTTAAAATTAATGTTAAATTTTTAACCTGCGTACTGGCATATATAGGAAAAAAATGAAATTAATAACTTACTTTTGTAAAAAGGTAATCTTTGTCCGGTGCTTTAACTATAAATTCATTAATTTCTTAGTTAGTACTTTTGTTTTTTTTTTTGTATATAATCATCATTATTTGTTCATTTAAGATAGGCCTTTAACTTTAAATACTTACTGATGTCTACGTTATGGTTAATATATAAGGTACTTAGAAGTAATTGGTTGAACTTTTTTGGAAAATTGGTCAATATATGTTAGTAATACGTTTTCGGAAAAAGTTTTAATATCGTTGTCTTTTCTCCATTGCATAAATTGGTTGTAGGCATAGGTGTAACTATCTTTTGATTTTTCTGGCAATAACTTTAACGAGGTAATTTGAGCAGCTGCGGATATCTCTAGTGGAGTACATTCCATCGAATATTCCTCTTCACTTTTGAAAATTTTACATAATTTTTAAACACACAAGAAAATAAAGAATAATCAGTTATGATAAAGTTTTTACTACACACTTTTAAACAAAAAAAAAAAAAGATAAGAGGGAGTGGAACTTTTAAGTGGCCCACCTTGTATACTCGTCTGGCGGGCACTAGCAACCGTCAGAATGGTCTGACAGTTGTAATTATGTTGATAAAATATTTCCAAGACTATTTCCTGATAGTTTTAGCCTTGTCAAAACACTTTCATTTTAACCCCCAAAAATTTAAATGCAGATGTCGCAACCGCAGTATCTCTGCCAGATTATTATTTCCTTATTCAACTAATATTAAATTATAAATCTACAGATTTTCAGCCTTGTGCTAAACACGTTGCTTAAAATGACTGCTGGCTCTCAGTCTATTATTCTTAAGAATACATAAATGTTTAAACAAAACTGAGTTTATTTTGAGAAAATTTACTAATTTTGTATCGAAAACTCAAAACTGTTAGGTCTCTACATAGCATTGGCCATTCATTATGAAGGTTTACTAATAATATCTAAATTAATTTAAAAAAGATTCATTTTCCTATTTATTAAATTATTACTATTTATAAATATGTGTAATACAATTTGTTCAACTTGCATCTCATGCCGAGCTATTTTTGTGCCATTTTTCATGCTACTTTCACATGGAAAAGTGGAAATATCAACAAACGTATCAAACAGTATTTTCTTTTTAGATTTTTGTTCTGGCTTTCGCAATAATAATGTTAAACACAGATTTGCACACCCCGAACATGAAGCCGGAACGACGAATGCGATGTGAAGACTTCATTAAGAATCTCAGAGGCATTGACGATTGTGGAGATATCGATACCGATATGTTAGTTGGTATATTCGAAAGAGTGAAAGCCAATGAATTCAAACCTGGTTCAGATCACGTAACCCAAGTTATGAAAGTGCAAAGCACCATTGGTAAGTATCCAATTCAAAATGTTGTATTGTAAAGGATTAGCCGTGTTTCTAAGGTGACCAAGAATTGAAAAATTAAAACTCACAGTACAATTTTAATTTTAAAAGAAGTTTCCAAAATTACACACACTTTTCAATTGTCTTGTCCCCTCTGGTAAATAAATTGTGTTAAACCACGTTTAAACACCGAATATTAATCTTGCAGTATGAGGTTTAACTATGTCAAAGTTTGTCTGGGAACAATTTCCGAACTCTGCTGGAAAATGTTTTACAATCGGTCAAGTGAAAAACGACAAGGAAATACTTGTAAGCGTTAACTCCCAAGTAAAGTATTTGCTCGCCCAGCAGGTGAATAAAAGAGTTCTTTTATTTGTTTATACTCTTCAATACTCAATTCACTTCAATGTGTTAAGTTAAGGCTGTTTTACCGCTTTTCGTGCTACCAAAGTTAAGAAGTACCTCAATAATTTTATAAAATAATTATGAACATAATCCTTCCTTTATTTCTGTAAGCATAATTATACGTGTAATAGTTTTCTATTGTTTGTCCAAATGGGGCGTCTTTCTTTCTCGGTATTTAACTACAAAAATGAAAGATTGGTACAGTTTGACTATTGCATTGATTTACATTGCAGTAGACATTTTTTTTTAAACAAAACGCATTTACCTCGCAGGATTATTAGCGTATATTACAGTAGATACAAATATGTATATGCCTCTGTCTGTAGAGCCAAATCTATTAGATTTTTACTTTCCTATCTGTATACAGATATAAGGAAAGTATAGGAACCATGCTTTTTTTCGACCTCGAGTTTTCGACGGATTTTTACGTTTTGAGGTCCCCTGAATCCGTTTTGAATATTTTCGCGATGATGTCTGTGTGTGTGTGTCGCATAACTCATGAACCGACACACAAAAACACCAAATTTTAAACTTAGGCGTTGTTCCAGCGTCCAATGCAGCTTTTGGGCAGAGTCTGAACATCTGGGGGGAACTTTATAGGTGGTCATTTTTATATTTTATCAAATATATCTGTTATTTACGTTTGGGGAAGAAAATTCTTCAAATAAAAGTTACTTCTTATATTATTATCTAAAATTTTTGTTCTATACAAAATTTTTCTAAAATGGTCCGTATTCGAGAAATTTGATAAAATGTAAAAAAAATATTTTTTTTATAAAAATTGTTCAAACAAAAGTTGTTTGTAATATAATTCTCTATAATTTTTATCCTATACATAATTTCTCTAAAATGGACCGTATTCGAGATGTTTGAGAAAATGTGTAAATTTCGAAATTTGAAGAAAACTCAAAAACGGAAAAAGAAAAAAACATTAAATTTTAAACTTAAGTTTTATTTCGGGCTGACGTGAAATGATTAGATTTTGGACAAAGTCGGAACATCTGGGGGTACTTTATGGGAGGCCGTTTTTATATTTTATGGAATATATCTGTTATTTATGTTTGGAGAAAAAAATTGTTCAAATAAAAGTTACTTCTAATATTATTATCTATAATTTTTGTTTTATGTAAAAATTTCCTGAAATGGTCCGTATTCGAGAAATTTGACAAAATGTGTAAAATTCTGATTTTTATGAAAATTGTTGAACTAAAAGTTGTTTGCGATATCGATATCTATAATTTTTGTTTTTACATGATTTTTCTAAAATGGACCGTAATAGAAAAATTGGAGGAAAAGTGCTAAATTTAAATTTTTCAGTATTTGTGTTTTCAATGAATATCTATAGAAGAATGTTTCGAGATAGATGTATGTGGAAAATGTATATATTTAGTTTATCCTCTAAACATTTATAGAGGTGCTGCAATAAGTTGTACAAAATAACCAGAAAAAGCTTGTAATAAATAGATAGGAAAGTCATGTGTTGGACACATCAGATTTTTTTTTTGTTTTTACAACGCAGTGTATAATAGAAAAGGCAATAATTTAAAAATAAATATAATTATGCAGGGTTCTCCAAGAAAGTGATACATATCAGTTAGGTTTTGCTTTTCTCATTATAATAATATCAAATAGTATAGGATTACATAGGGTACTTCACACGTTATAACCAGTTTTATATGAAAATCGTATTGATTTTTAAAATTATATTCAAAAGAAACAATTGAAAACCATTTTTTCACGGTAAAAGTTTTTCGATGTTATTCAACATTTATGCTTACGCACTGTTTTTTTTTTTCAATTAAAAACAAATCGGTACAGGGTGAGTTAAAATTCAAATACACAATTTTCCCATTTTTTTAAATTGACCACCATTCAAAAGTATCCTAATTATACTTTCAATTGCGTTAAGCATTCCCTATACGTGAAGTTAATAATTTTAAGAGATTTTTTAAATTTAAATGACAATAAAATAATTCACAAAATACTTAAATTTTAACTGATCACTGGTTAATAGGAAAGAGACTGGTTAGACTTTTTTAAAAAGAAATATTGCAACATTAATGACATTAGTTATAACGAGCTGTTAGTATTGGAGTTGGAGTCAACTTAAAAATCAACAAACTTAGAATAAAGTAGGTATTATAATAGAAGTGCGTCTATGATTTTTTGCTATTTGTATTTATTTTTTACTGAATGTTAAAAGTCCTAATAGAAATTGTTAAAAACTTATTCAGCCGATAATTAATTAGAGCTGGTTAAATTCTAATTATTAATTAACAAACAGTCTATTACATGTTAACCAGTAACCAGTTAAAATTAATTTATCTTTTTTTTTTACTTAAATTCCAAAAAAATTTCAAAAATTATTAACTTTAGGTATAGGGAATGCTTGACTCAAATGAAAATTTAATTAAGATACTTTTGAATGGGGCTAAAATACAGGATGGTACAGAGTCAATTAAAAAAAAAAGACAATCATATATTTGAGTTTTGACTCACCCTGTACAGATTTGTTACGAATTGAAAAAAATAGTACAACTGCATAAAATGTTACTAAGAACGAAAAACTTACTGCAAAAAAATTGGTTTTTAGTTGTATCTTTTGCAGTATACAGGTCATTGTAATCAATACGAATTTCATATAAAACTGGTTATAGCGTGTATAATCCAATACTGTTTGGTATTGTAATAATTGGAAAAGCGAGGACAATTAAAATATAAAATATAAGAAAAACCTAACTTTGATATGTATCACTTTCCTGCACAACCCTGTAAAATTGAAATTATTTTGAATTGCCTTTTCTGATATACATCTCGTTGTAAAAACATATTTTAAAAAAGCAAATTATTGGCTCTACAGAGCGAGGCGTTATCGGTAACTCACCCTGTATAATAAAATTACATTTTGACAATTTGTAGTCGTTATGAAAAAATATTAGAAAACTTTTTCTACTTGCTGTTTTCTTCATTCACTGGAACTAAAAAACAAACTTTTATTAAACAAAAAATTATTGGATGTAAAATTAGTGCTTCTATGCACTGTCTCACACCCGGTATATATTTGAAATTACCTGATGCCTGATTTCCACGGATTTTTTCAGGCACTCGATCCGCAAACTATATTTTATTTTGTATAATTAATTTAAATTATATTTTATTTAAAGAAAAGTGCTAGGTACTTATCACACCCAAATTTAGTGCACAAAAAAACTGCACAGCTGGAAATATAATAAACACAGTGAAATTAAAGTTCCGAACACAAATAGAAAAATCACATAAATAAAAAAATATATAATTATACTTATTTATTTCATAGACATTCGGTAATTAATCGGAAATTAATAATTCATAATAGACTATGCAAGGTTAGTGACACAAATTATTACGATAAGTATAATTTTTATACCTACAAAATAGGTGCGTATTTAGGATTTTTTTTAAATCAATAATATACATTATTATTGAAAGTTTATATCAAAGAAGGGCAGGTTGATTTATAAAAATAGATTTTGGTTAAACTTACAACCTAGTAATAATGTTTTGGTCCTTATTTTCCAGTCCAACGCAATACACGACAAAATAATCTACTTTTTTGAAAACTAAAAATAACTTTAATAAATAATAATGATATTTAGTCAAAATTAGAAAAAATATTGTATGTAACACGTTACGAAATTCCGTTTTATGTTACTCGTTCATGTTGCGAGACCTTTGCTCTGCTCATGCCGCAAATATTCACTCGCTACATAAAAGGCATCTTGCAACGGGTTTCATAAGTAGCTTGATGAATTAACTATAATCTCAAATAAATGTTTCAATAGGTTTGTTCCCAATCGCAGTTTGGATTGTACGAGAATAGTTTGCAATTGCGCAATAGCATAAAAGTGTTCCCAATCACTTGTAGAATAGTACATGCACGATGGGTTGGCTGTTCCCAATAAACACAAACTAGTACATTAATTAGTTTGCGGATGATCAAAACAGTCCTTGCTAAAAAGCATGTACGAAAAGTTAATGCATTCTCAAAACGATCTCCATCTACATTCGGTAAACTTAACCCAACTTTTTATTGATAATTTGGCGACTAATAATACTCGTGTAGAGATAATTATTATTGTTATTGTTGGTATTTTTATAAAAATGAGCGACGAAGACAGTATTCCGTCAAGTAGTGATTGGAGTGATTACGAAGAAGACGAGTTTTTTGTAATGTATGGAGAGCCCAGAAAAAAAACTAAAACTATTTAGGTATGCCTTTTTTAATTATGTATAATAAATATTTTTATAAATTCTACTGATACTTTTTTTCGGGGGCTATATCCAGCGAACAATTTACCCAACCTCTAATGTCATTCATGACAATTTCCATTATAAGCGTTGCCAATAGACCAAAACTTTTTACTAATTTGTAACGCAGTTCATGTATGACATGCGCTTAGTACTAATTGCAAACTAATCGTAACATCTAATTGGGAACAAACCTAATATTTACTTATGATTTGTCCTAATAATAATTGTGTGCAAGACGTTAGTGTAAGTAATTATTGAAATAATTTTACGAGGTGTAACATTTTGTTTTCAGTGGGGAAGAAACCAAATATGGCGTTACCACACCGCAGGTTGGTGTGTTATTGTCGATTATATGAAATACCAGATATAAATAAGAAAGAGAGACCGGGAGTGCATCAGAGGGAAGTATTTCTGTTTAACGACCTGCTAGTAATTACTAAGATATTAAGTAAAAAGAAGTCTTCAGTCACATATACTTTTAGAAATAGTTATCCTCTTTGTGGGATGGTTGTAACACTCTTTGATGTACCACGTAAGTAATTTTTGTTTACTTTTCAAGTTTTTTTTTAAATAATATAATAAACTAATACTTAATTAAATCAAATATTTTTTTTTTAGATTATCTGTATGGTATACGACTAAGTCAACGCGTAGATCAAAAAATTTTAGTTACATTTAATGCCCGAAATGAACACGATAGATGTAAATTTGCAGAAGATTTGAAAGAAGCAGTCAGTGAAATGGATGAAATGGAAAATCTTAGAATAGAAGCCGAATTAGATAGGCAAAAGTCAAATAGAGGCGGAAGTCGAACAGGTAAGGTTTTTTTAATGTATAAGTTTGGCAACAAATTTTTCATATGGTCTACCACAGAAACCCTTTTTGGCAAGGATGGGATTCGGCGAAATTTCTTGAATTTTTTTTTACAAAAAACAATATTGTCTATGTGTTCAACTAAATCCTGTAACTAGTTTTTGATATACAGGGCGTTGCAGTTGCAAATTGGCCTTTTAAAAAAAAGGGTGTGCCTCTTAAGAGGTATTGTTTGAAAATAATGCTTCACTGATATCAAACAATATTTGCAGTGTAACATATGACGTAAATTATTATTAGTTACAGGATGAGTTATAAATTACTGTAAATAGAATTTTAATTTATGCAGAGAATATTCTCCAAATATCAAGCTGAAATAGCCTTGGCTTAAATAAACAAAATTAGGTAATATTACATTCTGTTCAGGGCGACTCAAAAAGTTGGTAAACCCTTTATGGTATTTTTAATAAAATTTAATAGTGATGGGACTTTTCATGAAAAGTATTTTTTGGACTAGTCCCACATGTCCGGAAAAGTAGTCGACCTTGAAAAAAATTGGTAGAAATGTATAACGTAAATCTACCACTAGTAACATTGGAAATAATATTTCATTTCCTTATCCTTTGACCTTTTTCCTAGAAACTGCTGTTTGATAGGTTTGATATCTCCTGGGCATAGAAAACACACAGTTAAATATTTCTCCATCCTCGATGAATTTTCAAAAACACTTTGGGAACAATATTTGCATTTGTTTTTTCATTTCTTAGGCAAATAAATTGTAAAATTGTTTCGAACTTTGGATTTTTTGGTCATTTTTCACGTTTTTATTTTAATAAGATATAAAACGAAAATTCGAAAACACCGTTAAAACACATAAAAGTAGGTACTCTTGTGTCGTTTCTTCTTTTTTAAACTAGATTTTGCCTCTATATCTAAGCAATTCGGTCAAATTATTTAATTTAATTTCACGCATGCGCAATACACTTTTCCACTTTTGAAAAGTATGTTTGGATACAGTTTATTGCTAAAAAGAATCAGTTAGCTCACTCGGACCAGTTGGATGTTCCAAAATAACATCCACTGAAAGGATACAAATTCAGGATGCGCAGAAGATTGCTGTTTGAATATAGGCGGTTGTCATATATTGTATTGGTTATGATTTGATTCTGTATGCGTCAGGGATACAAATCCGAGTTGCGCAGGGTATAAACTGGAACATTGAGATCAAAAGTGCCGACACAGAGTGAGCGAACTGATTCTTTAACTATAAACTGTGGTTTGGACAAGTCAACATTTCAGACTAGTCCGTAGGACTTTAAATATACATTTAAAATAAAATACAGAAATAATTTAAAGTAAAATAGTAATACGAGGTCTGTTCTCTTTCCGCTGAGCCTATCTAAGGGGATGATATGCAACAAATTTTAGTTAGTGATAGTTGCTAAATATACCTGATCGTAAATTACATAAGTTTAAAGTATACTTCATTGATGTAGAATCGGTATAACAAGATTCATTTATTTTATTTTCGAAGTTCGTTTTTAGCCACTTTTGAGTGCGTCCTGATTCACTATGTGCTGTAAGAAGATTGGTATTGCTCCTTAGAGCAAGGTAATTCTTCTTTCCATCCAAAACTATTTATACATTTGTGGAGTCGCTGTTTCAGCAACACCATTCTTCATACTATTCAGAGGAGGGCTTCTTTTGAGCAATTATTTCCTTAATTCTTATTAATTATATTTACTCACCTCGGCTATCGACGTTCAGTCTATACGTCAATGATATCTGCTCTTCAGAACTGTCCTACCTAATCTCGTCCTTTATTCTTATTAATTATTCACTCGCCTCTGCTATCGACGTTCAGTTTATACTTCAATGATCTTTGCTCTTCAGAACTTTCCTACCTTATCCCGCCACTAGACTATCCTGAGTGATTCATCAGTTCTAGAGTTTGTAGTATTAGCAACATTTTATAATCTTCCTTAAATTGTCCCTGATCAACTGAAAAAAATATCTTTGTCAAATTGAATTTTATAAATAACATTTATTGTTTTAGGTACCGAAAACCGAGATAGCGGAGTAGCAGACGTTGAAGTATGCTCTTACCAGTGCCCTTGCTCTCAAATGCCCTCTATGAATCCTAACGAGGAAGAAATTCAACACGATCCGCAAATTAAACGATCAGCACTCAGTAATTCATTGCTTGATATCCATGAACAGTGTAAGTATAAATATTTATTGAAAATATCAAAGTTTGCGCTAGGTTCAAAATAAAACGTTCTACTATATTTCTTTTAATTACATTTCTGAGGACTTATGAATTCGGATTGATTAAATTTAATCATTTGATTAATACAATCATTTTCTTTTTGTTATTTTGGTCAGCAGCGCCCAAGTAAGTGCAGATGGTCACATTTTTTTTACGAAAAATTTTGCTTTCATCTTTGTAAGTTCCGTCTCTAGCACGCTTACATTTTGCAATATTTGGATACTTAAAAAATGGCATGCTCACAAACGTTTCAGCTGAAGTTGCTTTAGAGTTCATAATTTGATAAGGCTGCAATTGAAAACTGCCCAAAATAATGTTTTTCTTTATCTGTGTTTTGATAAGATTCTAATAGAATTATGGAAAAATGTTACAAGTATCTATATTATTATCAGTTACAGAATATTTGTTAAATAAATAATTTATTTGTATATGGCGACGATTGAATATAGGAAATACGTGATTTTAGAGTCAAGGTGTTATTTATTAGGGTTTTCTCAGAAAACAAAAACGTTATTCGGGTTTAAATTCGGCACCAGCTCTTACTCAGTTCGTAAAATTGTCTTTATTCATCATGTTTCTCGACTTAAAAGCTAACTATCAATCAATCCCATTTCTCCTCCAGCGTGAACTATAATTAATCTCTGTCCTTCGCTTTAAGTTTTGCCTCAGAAATGTTTAGTATTTATACATATAGATAGCGTAGCACGAGAACTATGCAAATAAGTTATACTCTTCCATATGCGCAGTTTTGTTATCGGGTGCCTGACTTTTTGGCCTGTTCCTTTCGAACTTACAAATTTTATGTCGCGCCGCCAAATAGGTTTCTGTGTAATTCTTCCGGCGCTGATTAATAAAAATTAACATTATACTAAATTCAATTCCTATCAGAGAAAAGGCGCACATTGCACGTGGATGGTCTTGGTGAAAGCACCTGAAACTGATTACAGCACTCGCCAGTTACTCTGATCCACCAAATTGTTCCTGTGGTGGAACTGACACCGCACAAGCCACATTCGTTCTGTAGTCAGATGCGTCGCTGTCTATATAATTCTACTATTAGTTTTGTTGGAAAACAATTGTATTCGTAAAGATCGCAATACTGTTTGACGTCATGCCACTGAATCCTGTATTTAGTTGGCATTAGCTCGAAGTCGGCGTAACATAGATGCAAAATAACTAAAATTACCAAAATTCTTCTATTTATCTAAAAATAAGCCTAAAATTTTGCCTTGTCCATTTTCCAGATTCTTCATTTTTTTTTAACGAAAACAATAAACTCGTATTTTCAAGCTAATTTTTCCTATAGAGGCAAGAGGGAAATTTTTTTTATTTTGGTAGAGAATTAGCCTAAAATGAGCCAAAAATTATGCCGTGATCATTATGTATATTGTTGAATTTTTTAATGTAAAACGCAGTAAGTGTCTGTTTTTAAGCCAGCAGAGTACCTAATTTTACTTATAAACAAAGCGAATTTTTTTTAGGTTGATATAAAATTATTAAAAATTAAAATTATTAAAAAATTATGATGTTTTTAAAATAAAAAAATCCAAATAAAGGAGGGGAATTTTTTATATTGGTATAAAATTATCCTAAAATGAGCCTAAAATTATGGCATACCCGGAATGAAAATTCCAAAAGTGCTTTGCTAGCTTGATACGTATAACTTCAACATACCTTGATCTAATTCAAGAAATTATTTGTTTTTATTTACCATTTCCAAAAACAAATTCCAATATTTGCAATGTCTAATAAATTTAATATATTGTGTTATCAGGTTGAGTTATATTTCACAAATTTACATATGTTCAAACAAAATGTTATGAATTTTCTTATTAAAAATAAGTAAAAGTACAGGATATTCGTTTATGTCAGTTTTAAGAGATATTCTAGTAGATCATAGTAAATGATGAGTGCTGTACTAATTACACTATTAGACTGTACTACGGTATTTCAATTATTATTGATCATCTAAAAGTCATCTTTTTGTGCACTTTTTCTTTGTTGTGAATATATTTTTTTTTTACATTTCAACACCCATAAAATTTTGCGTACTGGACTAGAATGCCAAAATTATTCACTTGGAAATTCATTGAAGCATGAATTTGGTAAATTTCAAAAATTTCCCATTTTAGCATTAATAATAATGATCATAAGAATAATCTCCCAAAATTAATATATAACTTTAAAAGAAAAAATATTAAGAAAACCAACAAACCTTCGAATTCATACAAAAACTACAAAAAACAGTAATAGGAGAAAAACCAACTAGGAGAAAAATATTACCAATACCAACTTCCACCATATATTCTGAAGCAAATAAAGTCTAAAAGAAAAATGTATCGTCAAATTAAAGCTCAAGAGTCGCCAGAGCTAAAGATGGAATTCAACGGAATAAACAATTACAAAAGTGGTGTTTCAATACAAGACACATTTTTGGACAGAATCTTGCAAAATAATTAATAGTGCACAGGGCAAGAATTATTAGTCGGAAATCAAAAAGCTATCAAAATACAATCAACAAACACTAACACAAATATTAAAGAAAACGTTTGATTTTACATACAAATACAGAAATTTCGGAGCACTTTGCAGGAAAGTTTAAAAGTACTTTTTAAAAACAAATGATCAAAAAACAAATTATGTTAATTTCGATGAAAGAATTACAAACTGTTACAATACCTTTTTCGAAGCTCCCGTAGCGCAACAAGAAATACCTTGCATTATGGAAGAAGACCACTATTGTAAGGTATTTTCTTAAGAAAATATAACCCTTACAAGTGACCCCTTGGGCTCGGAAGCTGTAGGGCGCTAGTTTTGTTAATGTGGTTTGCTTCACAGCCTTTTCATTCGGTCAAAAGGGCTTGGGCAGCTTCTAGTGGAGACGACGGAAAAATTCCAGAAGTCTCGTTGATATCAGACTGTGAATATAAGAGGGTAACAATAACGGGCTTTAATCGTTATTATTACGTCAGAGAATTTTCGGAAGCTAAAATAGAAAAGTGAAAATTCTATACACGGTTAAATAACCGCAATTATGAGCCAAATTGTTAAAATTAATACTCTATTGCTTGCGAAAGTTAATAAACAAAATTTAACTAAATACTTCACTGGTCGTAGTAACCCTGAATAAAAATAAACAAAAAGAAACGGTTTTGGGACGATAGTTTTGACAGGACGGAGCTCAATCAGACGTTAATAAATAATTATATAAAATAGAATAAAACGGGGTTACCGCAGAGTTTACTCATGAAAAGTGAATTGAATAGAAAACAAATCATAATTAAATATTTTTTTAAAATTAATCTGTACCAGATAACTAGTCCAGTTCCTATCTGAAATCCTACCTACCTTCTGTTATATCAAAGTTAAAAAAAAACTTCCATGGATATCTAAATACTAGTAGTGTCCTTCCACTCCACGCATAGAAAACACTAGTTAGGTTTAGATATAATTTTTTTTCTGAACGACAATAAAGTAACTTACAAAAAATAAAATAAAAATTCTACCAGGGATAATATCTAATTACTAGTGATGACTGTCTACTCCACGCATATAGGCCATCAGTTAGGTTCAGATATTATTCTTTCAACGAAAATTAAATAAAAATTTTATCGATCGTGACCTTTAACAAAAATAAAACATTTTTTTAAGTTAAAGACTTCTACTGTAAGGGAAGATATTTAGAAAATTATGTATTTATGAAATACATTTTATCACCCTGTAGAATGAAAACTGGGACATTTACAGGAAAATTATATTTAGCTTTTCTTAATAATAAGTTAAGATCTACAAGTCCCCAGTTTACCGTACTTTATTCTGAATCACCCTGTATAAAGCATCTATATGGTAGTCCCACTGAAGTACATGGTCTAGATAAACTTCTAGAATTTAACATACTTGGTAGATTAAATCATATTTTAGGACTAAAACATTCTCTGTTGCATTATACGAGTACGAAAATAAATTGATTTTGAATTGATTATTTATTGAATACAGTAACTTGAAATCACTTAAAAAGAAGTAAATTGAACAATCATTTTTAATTCAACATTTTTAATCAATACTTATTTTAAAATTTAAAAGTATTTTACTCTTCAATATAAATCATTATTTTTGTTTTCTCTGTATACCACCTATATTTAACGATATTTGAGACCTGATTATGAATTTCCAAGTGATCCAGAACATTTTGTTATATTTTTATTGTGAAAAGTAAGATACACTTTTTTCCCATTTGTATAAAACTTTTTTGGGACACTGGAAAATGTCGGACTGCAGCGTAGAAGATGAATCGATGTACCTTTTGCGCTGGGCACCTAACTTAACCATTACCTTCATTCATTAGAAGATATGAATGGAATATTGAACTCTAATTTAGATATGAGCCACAATATGGTATGGGGTCGTAGTAGAGTAGACCACCATTTTTGTCATATCATGTTATATGTCCGTTCGTTTCTAAATCACTCTATATAATCAAAACCTTTTCTACCTTTTTGGTATAATACAATTATTCTTATTAATAATCCATTCCGATTGTGTTTTTACCAAGAAAGTTTTGGGGTAGCTTCGAATTTTTCCATTCTACACGTTTTTTGGGGGTGTTGATTCGAATCTGAGGTTTATTGCGGTTTTTTTCACATAACTCTGCAACAGTGACGTTTCGTATATAACCTTCCTATTTAAAATGAAAGTAAATAAAATTTCCGACAAATTTCATTACTTAGCTTTTTCCCCGTCAAACCGTTCGGGCTCCTCAAGCGCTAGTTAAAATTGGCCTATTTTGGCTGTCTCCTCAAAAACTTACTTCTTCAACTCTAAAACTCTAATTCATTATTAAAGGCTGTCATTTAGTGAATTCCTCCTAGTTCTGTGAACCTTATTTAGATCGTATAAGTAATTTCTTCAAAAATTACATAATGAAGTCCGAAATTGTACAAATAGAATTACAAAAAGTTTTAATTCCAACAAATATTTTTGAAAAATTATTACATATATTAAATATAATTATAAATATTTGGATCTAGCGGAAAGTTCTGTCCGTTTCTGGAATAAAACAAAATACAAATTTTTTTACCGTCAATAATAAACTTTATTAAATAATATAGTTGCCATTATTATTAATAACTTCTTTTAATAACATTTTTGAAAAATGTATTATCTTTTATCAAAAATTGAGACAGTGCTGGTTTGATATTTGCTTTATTTTTGTAATGACATAAACAGGTGATGGTCTGAGGGTGCTAAGTCCGGGGAATATGGTGGATGCGAAAAAAATTTCCCAGCCTAGTTCTGCAATTTTTTGGCGAGTCCCCGAAGTAGCATGTAGCCTGGCATTATCAAAATGCAGTATGATGGCCTTCTTATTGAACTTCGTTGACTTCTTTTCTTGGACGGCTGTCTTTAAATTATCCAGTCTCTGGCAATACTTTCCGGAATTGAGCTTTTCGTTCGGTTTTAAAAGCTCATAATGTATTGGTCGTCGAATGTCCCATCATGTACACAACATTCTCCTATTCAGAATCAAATTTGGTTTAGAGGTGGAAGGGCTAGGTTTTCCGGGATTCATAATGTGTCCTTTTCCTTTCCGTAGGTAATCCACTTTTCATCTCCAGTTATCATCCTGTTCAAGAAGGGCTCAATTTTGTGCCTGGCAAGCAGAGATGTGCATATGACGACTGGATCCTCCAAATTCTTCTGACTTAATTTATGTGGCACCCATCTTGAATATAAAAAGAAAATAATTCCAAACGAATGTCAAAAGAGAAACGGCCGCCCATATTATTGTGACGCATGGCTATGGAGGGTAGAGGAAAGGAGAACAATCTCTGTATACAAAAAGTGTCCCTCAAAATGTATACAATTAAGATGGCGCTTCTGTGCCCAGGGGACGACACCAATGATGTATATAGTAATAAATATTGCTCAACCATAAAAAACTAAAAACTACACTGTGAAAAGTGACTGATCGTAGAAGAGAAAGTGTTCTGATCGTAGATAAATTTTGATAATACACGACAATAGTCAAATTTTATTGAAAAATAATAATATAAACAATAAATAATTCTTATATTAAAATGGCACGGAGGTCTCAATTTACTGCTTCCTGTCTGATTTAATTATGAATGAGCAATCTATATGACTATATAGCATTGGATTTTGTCCCCTGGCTACACGAGCGCCATCTTAATTATATACATTTTGGTGGCCACTTTTTAATATAAAGATCCATATAAGATTGTCCTCCTTTTCTCTACCCTCCATACACATGGTTTTGAGTTTGTTTTGATTGTATTTTACATCTTGAATATTTCCACACCAGTCCTATCTTTCAAATATAGTCCTAAATGGTTTGCTGAGCTGAATTAAGCCTTTCTGCGATCTCAGATGTTTTCAGAAAAGGATCTTGCTCCAACATGGTTTTAATAACATCGTCGTCGATCAAAGATGTTCGCCCAGAACGTGGCCTATCAGAAAGGTCAAAATCAGCTGTTTCAAATTTTTCGAACCATCTTCTGAATGTCCTATCAGAAACTGTATCTTCACCAATCCTTTCAATAAATTTGTACCTGCTTCTATAGTATTTCTTCCATGAAAATCGTATAAAATACATTGGCGTAAATGAACTTTATCAGTAGCCATGGGTACAGGATCGCTTCTCACTTAACACTAACGTGAATCAACTTTTAGTTCATTTGCTACGTCAGTATGTATACCTGAATACAATACATATGATTACGTGTCCAAATTTGTCATAGAAATGGACAGAACTTTTCGGTAGACCGTATATATACAGTGTGTCTACGTGATTTGGCTACATATGGAAAACTGTATTCTTCACAAAAAGTTGTGCATGGTCTAAAACCTCAAATACAACCATCAATTATCGAAACTTTATGAGTCGTATAGGTATGATGTTTGCCAAAAAAATTATTTTTGGTTAAGAGTAAAGTACATTCAGTTTTGACAAACCTCATATACGACTCATAAAATTTGATCTGATGGTTGTATTTTCGGTTTTAGACCATGCACAATTTTTTATAAAGAATAATTTTTTTTTCTTAAAATTAATAATAAAAATTTAGCGGTATATGGAAAACTGTTTTCTCCACCGCAACTAATGAATGTAGTTTTCCGAAACCACTTATCGTAACGGAAAGAAATCATTTTCGCTTCTCAGATTGACAGAACATTCTGAAACACTTGCCTCTTATGTATTTTACACGTATTTCATTCTAACTCTAGAAGAAGAATGTTCTTTAAGTAGTAGCTACTGGTCGATGACTGTAAATACCACTCCCGCATCGTAGATAGTCATGAATTTCATGACTGACAGTTCTACATGACATATTAGTATTTGGTTTGAATTTGCCTGAATAAAGATAAGCGGCGTTTGTTAAGTCGAACTTAAATTCAAAAATTAGTGAATATAATGATTCTTATAGGGAATTTGATAATATTCCTCCTGAACTGACAAATTATTTAAATAATTTAATTGATTATATATTTAATTTTGTTCAAAGTTTTATTTTACTATATTCAACTCCGACTATATCTGTGGTCGTGGAGAAAGTACAGTCTGTTACTGTGTTGGAATGAAAATTCGATACGAGTGGATACGATTCCTCTCGAATCGAATTTTCATTTCAAAAAACTTGTTTCAGAATATTCTATTATTATTAATTTTAGGAAAAAAAGTTATTTTTCATAAAATAAAAAATGTTCATGACCTAACCTAAAATTCAATCATCTAATATCAAATTTTATCAGTCGTACACGAGGTTTGTCAAAAATAGTACTTTACTCTTGAACAACAATCATTTTTTTGATAAACCTCATATACGACTCATAAAATTTAATATCTGATGGTTGTATTTTAGGTTTTAGACCATGCACAATTTTTTATGACGAATACATTTTTTTGATAAATCTAATAATAAAAAAGTTTTCCATGTGCAGCCAACTTACGTAGACACACTGTATATAGCATTACTATATGAGCAAAAATTATGTAAGTCGGCGTTTAGAGGGTCCTGGCGTAGGTTCGGGTTGTTCTATCGTCAGCGACTGGGCTTGTTCATCTAGAAAATGAAAGAGTGGTTAAAAAAATAACTTGTAATCATATATCGAGGCGAGATGAATAATTTCGAGATAGAATGTGAGATTAGACATATTAGACTTGGTCTTTTCGTCCATGTTAATGTTGCCTTCCGAGGACTTTTTAAATTATCACATAGCCCTTCGGGGAAGTGGAAGGGAAAGCAATGGACTAATACCTTCCTGCATCCGGAATTACGTTGGCAGCCTATTTTACATTTACAAGAAATGTGCCGGAGTAAGACTCCAGTGCAGGGTTCAAAGTGCTTGGCACTGGCTCAAGACCACTCCTTGTTTTTGCGTCCACTTGTTCGAGTCTCTTTCTGGGTCTTCGAGTGTTTTTTGACCAAATAACCACTGCTGCACGTGGAAGTTAACTCTATGTGACCGTTGTTGTGCAGCAGCTTCGATGGGGGGGGGGGGGGGGGGGGGGGTTGTGAGGTAATGTTGGTTTTACTTTTGTAAGATGAATATATCTCAAATCGTTCAGTCTAGTCTCATGTTCTTTCCCACACAGAGCCAAGACAAACCAAACACATTTCTTGCTTCGGCACTCTCGTCCAGGTGTGTTAAAGGGTCCATTACTGGTTGCAAGTCTTTGTTTTTTGCAGAACTGAGAAATTTCAGTTTCCCCTGATTAAACAAAGCAGAAGTGGTGTCACAATCGCAAATCGCGTGCATGGTCTGATAGGGTTTTGTCACCGGCAAGATGAGGATTGTAGAGTGTTTGAGACACATTTCTTTTTCCTGGTTTCATAAAAAAAAAACATTCTTCAGTGCTATACAGGCCAATCAAAATCACGGGGCAATTATAAAATCATCCGGAGAAAGAATAAATACAATGTTTTTTTTAGAACTGGAGATTACTACCATTGAAACCAGTCTACATTGTATTCATCTTAAAACTGGGAGGAATTCACTAAAAAATGCAGCCTTTAATAATAAATTAGAATTTTGGAGTTATAAAATGTGTTTTTGCGTAGACAGCCGAAATACATCAACTAGGGCTTGAGCCAGAACGGTTCGTCGGAGAAAAAATCTAAATAGTGAAAATTGTCGAAAATTTTATGCACATTCATTTTTAATAGGAAGGGAATTTACGAAAAGTTAATGTCTCCGAATTATGGCCAAAAAAACGCCAAAAAATGAGATTTTTTACCTTTTTTGCATTCTTGTTTTCAATGTTGGGTCACGAAATTTTGTTAGCAAACTTCAGATTCGGATTTATTACCCCAAAAAAACAGTAGAATGGAAGAAATAAAAACTACACAACTTTCCCGCTAAGGGACCTTTTGTGCACAAATTGACTGCATTATAAGTCATAATCGCTAATAGTCTATGCAGTATAAAGCAAAAATTACAATTTTTAGAGAAAATTGAAATGTGATTATAACAAACCGGCCAGAAAGCTTAACTGTTAGATTCTATCTTTGATAAAAAAAAAAAGAGTGAGATCTGAATTGGCAATTTCTGAACTTTGTGTAGTTGCAGGAGAGAAAGCACAACGAAGAGGTAGTGTCGGTTCACTGGATAGCGGAATGTCAGTTTCATTTCAATCAACGTCGGCGTCGGCCAGTTCCTGCTCAAGGTCTGACAAGTTGGCAGGAAAACAGGCCGGGAAACCTGGAATTCTTAACCACCAAGGGCCACCAGGTCCCCATGGCTTCTTAGGCGGCATCTTCAACAAGAAGGCTAGTGGAGGGCAACCCAAATCAACGGAAGTGTAAAATAGTAATATTTGTCACTTTTAGGCTTTTGATATTTTTGTAACTTACGGTAAGCTTGTTTCTGATATTTAATCTACACTATATGTATTCAAGTATGATAGTGAACTTATTCTGTAAGCTATAAAATGTTAGAAAATGCAAATTCATCTAAAATACGGGTTATTAATTTATTTTTATATCAGTACTTTTTAGAAATAATTTCGCCTCCCACTAATCAATGATATTAGCTTGAGGCTCTTGCTCTCATAAAATATACAAAGTAAAAAATATCATACATAAATTATAATTTTTTCATAGTGTATTTTAAATAAGATAAATTTTTTTATTTTATTCGTAAATTTAAACAAAGTATGAAGACAACTGTGATGTCATATAATTTAACAAAAAATGTAATGTTTTATCAAAACACATTTTTATAAATAATCTAGTCAAAATTAGAAAAAAAATATTGTAACACTTTACGAAATGCCGTTTTGTAACTCGTTCATGTTGCGGGATCTCGCTGTGCTCGTCCCGCAAATATTCACTCGTTTCATAAACTAAGGCATTTTGTAATTGGTTCCATAATATATATTTAATCTTCCTTCAATATAAAAAAAGCAATGTACCTATATATTTATTTTAAAACAAAAAAAAGGTTTATTTTTATTTCTTTTCGCAACTGGTGACATAATGAGTTTTGCCTTAAGATGGAGTAGTAATTTTTTCGCATCATACGCTTTCAGAAAAGTGTTTGAAATACATTATTTATTTTGCTAATGTAAGAAAGAAACAAGTTTGTATTATGCCGAAACTTCAGGTTCGCCACTGCGAAATATTTTTGGTTAATTGTAAATACACAGAAACACAACCTTTTTTCACACATCACTGACTGTTTATTTTTGTTAAAAATATGAATAAGTTATGAAAATATCAAAAAAATTATGGGTAGACCTGTCTATTTGAGCACACAGCTATTATTTTGTTACCAAGTGTTTTGTTAAAAATTAAAGAGTTTGATGGCTTTTAGAAATAAAAATTTATTATAGTAATAGTTCATAATAAAACAAAACTCGGTATTTTCCCCCTACAATATCAGAATATTTTTAATATGTTTTTACTTTTTATCTCGAATTTTTTTAATTGGAGAGTAAAGGACGCTAGTCAACTGGTACCTATCAGCTATCAAAATGGCAATATAGCTAATATAATATTATAATAAATATATTAAAAATTGATCTGCAATGTTTCGAACTTAAAATATGATGACAACCAAATACCTATATCGTCATATTTTAAATTGCTCATTGTCCAGTTAGTAATGAAACAATACGAAATTATACAGTATAAAGAAATTTTAAAAATGTATGAGGTGAGAAATTACTCTTTTAATGAATACAATAAAATTGTTGATGAATATTACTATAATAGATGAAATGCCTGTTCAACGCTTATTTATATTTAAATTAATTGTATTGGAATTTTAGTCAACAATCTATTTTGTAATTTTACATTTCACCATGTACTTTTCCATTTGATCGTTTTGTTTGTTTTAACAAAAATAAATAATAATATTTGATATATCATGTTTCGTGAATTGCATTGTAATTGTACATATTTAATAATAACATTTTTATATAATAAATTTTTAAATTGTTTAATATTTTTGCCACTAATATTCAAGTGTTCAGTGGGTTAACTGGCAATACGTCCAATTTAAATTAGGTAAAATTTAAATGAATAAAAATGGGCCGTTTTGTTTTACAGCTTTCACCACAAATTTCTGTGCTAATTAAGCAACATCGTCATTATAGATACAGTATTGCTGTAGACTAAGCAAAATTTATAGATATTAGTCTTATTATTTTCTACTTTGCTTCATAGAATACTCATATGCTAAGTTTGAAATGTACCTCATTGAGCAGAGCGAATATATTTTTTGCTCACGTGACATCGAGCAAACCATATCAATGGAGTAAAAAAGCAAAACGAGGTACTTTTCAAACGCAACATCAGTTCGATATGTTATGCAAATATTACTGCACTGTTCCTCATCCACCTTTCCATTAAAATATTAATTTTTCCTCTACTGATTTAGTTTTATTTTGATAATTGATCAACTTTTAGGTGTTTTATTTATAAATTGTGAATACTCCTTTTTATAAAATTAATTAAAATACATAATATTATAGTGAATTAATAATTAATACTAGAAAAGACAATGCAAATATTAAAGAAATAAAAACAAATATGCCTCTTCAAATATACAAATTATACTGGATTCAATATAAAATCCATACCACATCATCGATGCATAGTTGCTAAATTACTGTAATAACAGGGGACCATTAGAAAATTTGGAATTTTCCGAAAACACTCAATTTAGTAGGAATAAACTTTGCAAAAGAATTTTGAAACGGCCATTACAGAAACAAAATTTTATTTAGGCATGATGATGTAATTAGTTAATAAATATCTATTGTTAAAAGAAGTAGCAATAATTAGAATAGTTGGATAAATAACATTAACAACTCATTACAGTTTAAAACTAATAAAATTTAAAGACTAAAAAATTCTTATCACATCAATCAGATTCATTAGAACTAAAGTAACCTACAATCTGTCCTTTATATGCAGGCTCATACCATTTGAAAATTTATTTTTCAATGTATCTTACAATGTTTGTGGAGTAATGGTAGATAAATAAATTATTAGTAAACAAAGCCGGTACATGGTACAAGGTACAACATATTCATCAATGATGTTGCGGACGTACTAGTCACCTTTCATTCTTAAATTCACCTCAACTAGCTCTGTACAGATTTTTCCACCTAATAACACCCCACAGCATTATGGCTCCGTCGCCAATGCTCATATGTGCAATATTGCATTCAGAGTAATGTACCCGGATCTTCTGTTTACTCGATGACGTCTATCGGCTACCATAATTGTATTCTTGTTTAATTTGTGAAAAGAATGTTGCTTTACTGATGCTCATTCTAGAGAGCATGATTTTTTGCGAAGTGCAGCCATCCTGTGTTGTGACGTGGGAGAAGTGAGGAACTCTAGCAGGACGTTTAGCCTCCTAATTACTGTTTTTGCAGTTACATTGACTCATCTTGCAACCAATAAATAATTTCTCAGTTTTGTAGCTGTATGTGCACAATTTCGCAGAGACTGGATTCGTAAGTATCTGTCATCCCTTATCGTTGTACATCTTCTACGTCTTTGGTCCGACCTCCTTTTATATTCTTCAGTATCATTATACCATCTTACTATACGAGAAACTGTTGATTGATGGATATGCAATCTCTGCGTTATATCTTCTGTCACCTTCATTAGGTAAAGCCACAATTTTGACAGCATTTTACTCACTTGTATGTGGCATTTTAACTAACCAACAACACAGAATTGAAAAATAATACACTAGCAATGTCAGTCTGACAGAAACTAATGATTAGTTGTCAAAGCACACTATGCATTGTCAGTTTCAATACACATTATGCAGTGTGTATAATCTTATTCACTGATAACGAATTGTGTCAACATTTTTAATAAACAACTGAATGCAATATACCTAAAACACTCCAGAATAATACTTTTGTCCACGATCACTTAATAATAAATCAATATCCTACCTCCTAACTAAAAGCATATAGTACCCATATATCACGGAGTGAATTATGATAATTCACGCTTTTGTAATTCTGGCACATTCCGGTAGATTACTAAAGATAGGCGATACTTTTCATAACGATATTTTCTAGATCGAAAAATTGAAAATTGGAAAAAAACAACAGTTAGTTACCTATGTTTAATAAAAACTTTCCATTCTACACTTAACTTTTATTTAATAAAAAAACCATAATGGTCGTGGACAAAGTATAGTATTATACTCGCAATTTATGGCCATTATTTGCTCGTTTAATAATATACTATTAGCGATACAAATTATATAATTGTTGAATAAAATTAAAAAATAAAATATGCAATATTTTTATTCTTGTGTTGGTGACTTGGTGTTATAGGGCGCTTTTTTTGTGTCGACTAGAATGTCACTATTCTTTACTACTTCTGCTATAGACCTAACAGTAGATAGATCGAGATTAAGTGCTATTGCTATACGCTAAAAAAAATTAATATTGATATTACACATTAATCGATTACTTACTGCTAACAGCTGCTAAAATAATATACTGAAGAAGCCACTAGTGACTATTTAATAATTGTTTTGGCATTTTTTCATTGAATAAATATACAATAAACGAACACCACTATTAAATTAAATACACAATAAATTTGTTGAAAAGAAATCGAATGATGCTAAGCACGGGATGCTTGACAACAATATGCGACAGTTCATGAATTTGATGCCAACTTTCACTATGAAATTCACAATTTTTTTTTTTGTTAAAAACCTACTTACAGTACATTTACATGATATGCTAAAAAATTACTTTTTATTATACAATCTTTAAAAAAGAAATCTATGCGTTCGAATTTATTACTTCAATTGTCAAATAAAATTTCATTCATTTAAATGGTGTTTGTGGTACGAATGCCTGTCTTAGATGACGTGAATTGGATTTTATATTAAATACAGCATATTAAAGAAAATGATTAATTTTCAAGAATAAAGCTATTTACAAGTATTTAGTACTACTTCACTTGTTAAGAACCTGCCGATTAAAAAAATTATTATTTTTTTGCCTCGATCGTGACAAAGCTAATTAAATAAAGAACATTGCTTTGTAAAATTCAAGGAAAGGTGGGATTATGAAGTGTAGAGGAAAGGAGGACAATCTCATGTGGTTGTTTATCTCGAAAAGTGTCCACCCAAAAGCAATAAATAAGGTTTCAGAAAGTTACCAAAATGGCGCTCGAGTACTAGAAGAGCAATATCCAGTGGTATAGTTATATAGAATGCTCATCCATATATAAATTCGACGTCGAAAAGCGGGTTTCTATTTAAGTAATAAAGAGATAGATATGTTATTTTATTAATATTTAGAGGATAAAAAAATATAAATAATTAATTGTATAATTAAACATTTCTGCAATGTCTACAATGAAGTTCAGAAGTTCGAAATTTTTTGCTACAGCTTTATAATTAATAAACTTACGGTGATATTTACTTTGAATTATAAGCTTCCTTCCAATTAAAAAATTGTAATAAAAGATATTTGGAAAAGGAACAATAACACCAAACATTTTTGTGAAAGTTCGATGAAGTAGAAATAGATCATTTTCATAATTACACTTGATGTGCAAACTTTTTTATATATTTTTCAAATTTTACTTTTACAAGGTATTGGATAACAATCAAAATTTAAATAATGAAATTTTCAAAACTATTTTTATTATCATTTAAACGTAATTCTTTAAATGTTAAATTTGAAAAAGAACAATAAAAGGTCTAAGCAATAAAATTAACATTTGGCATAAAATATATAAAAATACAAATACTACATTAACAACTATACTAACTACAACCTAAACTCGTAAAATATTTAGAAATTATTCACTAATTGGTAGTTCATAAATTTTAATAAATTAATTAATTTACTAAAGGAAAATTAACATTCTTTCAAATTTAATAAAAATTATTCGGATGTCTGCGGCATGTCTTTTTAAACTTTTGCACCCCTTGTACAGCTTTTGATTGCATACGTTCTCCCCATTTTAATATAATAATATTTATGTTTTTATATTACAATAAAATTTGACTATTGTCGTCTATTATCAAAATTTGTTTACGATTATATACTCTGATACTCTTCACCGTGTAGTTTTTAGGTTACACTCTTTTATTTATATATGGGTAAGCAATCTATATAACTATAGACATTATTGGTGTGTGTGATCTGAATTATCCATTGACGACTTTCAGCGCTCATAAACGCCATTCTGGTACAGTAACGCCATCTTAATTTCAAGGGACACTTTGTAGACAGAGTTCTCCTTACCTTTACACTCTATATGTAAGATTAAACAATAAGATGCAGATAATAAGCGGCCTTCGCTCATACAAATCTGCCGCATATACAGAGGTTACTTTAAACGGAACTTTCTGGAAAAATATACTCCCTGCCATTAATTTTAATATTAAAAACCGTTCATGAAGTTTGCCACAGGAATTGTTTTGACAATACAACAGCAAACAAATACTTGACTGTAGGTTCTTTCGTTCGTCCCACTGGCGTAGAAATGAACTACACCAACGTTTTGTCCGGTGTAACACCCACCTCACCTTCCTGTTGGCGATGTGGTGTCCACTGGTGGATATTTTCTCCTCCAGCTATTTCGCAGGAGTGAATTACACTCGAAATATGTATAAGGAATAAGGAGGAAGTAAACTAGGTAAATAAGGTGGTGTAATTGACAGTGATGGACACTGCACCAACAGCGAACGAAAGAACCTTGTGAATAGACAGAATATGCGATCAATGCAATTCTGACTGGCAATAATTGTTAAGTATCAAAGCACCTTAAGAGATTGGATCTGTCGAACTCTGACCGGGGATGTGAACAAAAAAATGAGACTACGGTTGTCCAACGCTCTCATTTACATACGAGAGGCATCTTCTGGCGACGTTGTCAGCTACATAACATTTGTAGGCAGGCTGACATACTAAGAGAAGTCCGATTCAGGAGGATGAGGATTCACAATGGGCTAAGTGAGGTAACTCATCCTTTCCATTTTACAGAAGGGCTTCACAGTAATTGTCCATTGTTTCTAGCTATTAAATAAATAATTAACTTTTATGCATATTTAGCTCTTAAACATTTAAACGTCTTGCCAGCTTGCCATATCTTATTCGATAATACCTTAAATATATCCAATAAAAAAAAAACATTTTTGATTACATTCTTGTGAAGAATGTAATTTAAATATATCGATTTATTATAAGAGCAGTAGTCTAAAAACGAACGGCACTAACTTTGCCGAAGAAAATGTTTCTCTTTTCAGCCCTTTTTACTCACTAAATTCGCTATCAGGAGATAGTAATGAAACCTAATTTTGTAAACAAAAGACAACGCTAGAAAGAGAAAATCGTATAATTTGAAAGCTATAGAGAGTAATAGTAATATTTATTTTACTTTATTAATGGCACTCAGTATACCGGCACCGGCTATATAATAATAGATAAAATTATCTGAATACAGTGCATAGTCGTGCTACTGGAATAGTAAATAAATAGTAAAAGGTATAATAAAATTTAAAAAAATTTATAGATATATTCATAAAACGACGAAATCATTTAAGTTTAACTCCAAAATTAAAATTTAAATGTAATAATAATAATAATAATATTAATGTTTATTTAAAGAGTTTAAATTAAAATACATATAATATAAATGTTAAACTTAGTCACAGAAGTTGTTTTACAAAATTGCAGGTACTTATAAACAGTTGATTATTTTATTGTAACTTATTAATTTTATCTAAAAAATGTAAAAAAAAACAAAGTACTTAATTAGAAAGACTTTCATCGCTATCTGAATCGGTATCGTTAACAACAAATTTTAGAAATTCACCATCTATGCTCTCTCATATAATATGGTCCAGTTTCAACATTTTATTTTCTTCTTTAAGCACATGATTAATACATTTTTCCAGTTTTCATCACTCGTTTAATAGTTTTCCAACAGTTGCCAAACATCATTCAATTTAAAAGTTGTTTTTCCGAACCCAATTTAAAAGTGGTGTACTTTAAATTGCGTCCCTATTAGCTCAATTGGGTTAAGTTCACAATGATAAGGAGGAAGGCGCAACACATGAATTTCATGTGCTGCTGCAATCTCATCAATAACGTATCGTATAGGAGGTTTATTTAATTGTACTCTATCTGTAACTTTACTTTGAGTAGATTTTCACTACAAACAATGCTTTTACTTCTTAACCATTAATTAATCTAAGGTTTATTCCATGATGAAGTATGATTTTTTCAAATGGTTGTCAGTGATAACTAGCATATTATATATTACGATTACTGACCCTTTTGGAATAGATTTTATAATTTCTTCAAAATACTCTTTTAAAACATCATGCCTTTATGGTAATCTCCAGTTGTATGCAGATGTGAGGGTGCCTTTATTCAAAAAGCCTTCGTCACTTCCAATTTTTACCAATTAATCGTCTTCCATTACTTGGAGTTTTTAATCCAGACGATAATCCTTCCAAGAAAGCTTGGCGTGAGGTTTGAATATTATTATCTGACTAGATTTTGTATACTATGTGTCCTTCATTTGCCCATGTTTCATCTAAATAAAAAAATTGTCTTCCCTTTGAACGATATTGCTTTATGGTTTTAAGATAATTTCTTCTCCAACAAATAATGTCGTCTCCAACAGATAATTTCATCACTATCAATTAGCGTCGATTTTCGACCATGTAAAATGTAATTCTTTAAGAGTTTGCCAAAGTTTTGTTTGTTTTATGTTGGGCAAATCGGAATCTTCTTTTATAGAATTCAAAATTTTTGCTAACGTTGGAACTTTTTTAAAATAAAATTCGTGTACCTTTCGTCTAAATTGTTCCTTTGATTTCTTCTGGAAGTTCCTGTTTTTATTTATCTCCTCGATATTCTTTTGGTGGAGTCAGGTCTCCCGACTTTGCTTACGAAAGATTCTGTATATAGTAGTTCCCACACTTGTTCTATTTGATGTTCTTTCTACGTCACCTCCACTGTTCCAGATCAAAGCTCTTTCCTTACGTAGCATACACATTTTTTATAATAGTTTTCTCATTTATTGATAGTGGATTATCTTTGATGCGTTTTACAGGACTAAACTCTAAACTATTTTACATTTTCACTCTAGTCACTAATTCATGTATCACAACAGAAACACTACAAAATACTAAATATCAACATTACTTTCGATGTTATTTATATATATTGCTCTGATATAACATTACTTATTGATATAGTTCCAAAAATAATTCAGGTATTTACTTTAATGAAATACCAAAAATTTCTTCTTATAATAATTTTAAAGTTTTTTCTGACATCCTGAAATGCACTTATGCAAGGATTAAAATTTCTAAAATCCCAGTTCATGTGTTTTGATTTGTTCTTTAGAACTTTACTCCTTAATATTAAATTACCTGACTCATTCATCTATAGTACTAAATAAAAAAAAAAGAATGCAAACATATACATAATATAGTTATTATTTTTTAAATTATTAATTCAATAGTGCCTACTTTTTATTTATTAGTTGGAGAGCCTATGACTTACTGCTTTAAAAAGGTTTTATTACTATCCTGATAGACGTTTTTGTTTGAATCTATTCCATTTAAACAATATCCCTATTAAAGGACATTATCGAATAAGGCTACAATGTATATTAATTTGAAGTGTGAAAATTTGAAATTCTCTTATAGAGATTTCTTCAATATATACTTCTTGAATTCTAAAATTACTTTTTTGGTATAATGCTATAATTCTTAATTACATCTTAATAAATACTTACAATTGATAATTGTAAAATAATTTGATATGAAAAGTAAATTGGTGTTTTGTATAAAAGTGTGATTCGTACTTTTTGCTGCTGATGGTAACATTGATGTTAAATTTACTTGAAGTTGTCTTAATATTAAGTAATATATCGTTGGTTTACTATCAAAACATCCTAAGTCAGAGTAGAGTAATTTTACAGGAGACACTAAAAAAATTTCTTTTGTCTTAATATAAGATTTGGCATTTTTAAATACGACAATGCTCTAGAGTGTAGATGGTTTTGCAGAAATATGTGTCTGTGATATCAGAATGTGAAATAATAGAAAAAAATTTAAACTATAAAAGATACTTGGGAGGTTTTGATAGTTAGCCGATGATATGCAATAATTAAATCAACATACTTCAGAAAACATCCTGGTGCAATCAATTTCTGACAAGTAATAACTAACGCAAATATTGAAACTTTCCTATACCTTCGCTTAATAATAAGATGTAAAACTACCTAATTTATTGACAAAACAATGTGAATATAGGCAGGATGTTGTACAGATATTTTTCCTCATTTAGAAGATTAATGTGACCACAATAGTATATTTTTACCTTCTAATTAAGTTCTGATTGCCCAATTCTTTTCGTAATACTCAGTTGTAACTCGTCAGAAATTGGTGTTTACGAATGCTACCAGACATTTCATCATGTAAAAATATAGTAAGTAATTCGAACAATATTTGTTTATTTGCCCATGTTACTTTTATTTATTTTTTGCCATCCTAAATTACATATTAATATCTTACTAGTTTTTTTTTTTTGTACTTATATTGAAATTGTCTGTACCTATGAATATTTCTGGAAAAGTTACCTTGTGTATAAAATTCTACTATTTAATGAATAACCTATTTGTATATTTTAAGTTGTGCATGACAAAAGTAACCAAATATATTTTCACCATTTTTAAGTGTTAATGTGTTATTTATTTTTTCCCAGTTTTTCTATTAAATAAAATATGCATATTTTAAAGGAGGAAATATTGAGATGAACAAAGGTAGGTGACACGCCACTTCCTTTCGTCTGCATTACGATAACTTTTATATATTATTCAATATGACCCAAAAAAGGTGAGTGGCAAGAAATATTGTGTGTGGTTGATGCTGTATTACATAAATTATTTTCTGAAAAGAATAAGCTACATAAAAGACATCAAAGCGATAACAAGTTAAAAGGCGTGAAGTAAAATTTCGAAATGACTAGTGTTAATTAATGTTTATTTCGAATTCCGAGCACTTAATTCCACAAAGCACTTTTGGACATTTATTAAATATTTCCACCGATATTATGTTGCCAAATTTATTTAGCCTTTACATCTCATTTCCGAAAGTGCTACTTTAAAGATGACATTAACCAAAAAATTGATCCTTCTCCTGTGTCATTTTATTCCACTTAGCCACCCACATTTTCACTCCTTGTGAAGTACCTATCTTATAATATTACAAGTCTTGACTCTAGCAAAATCGCTGGTCCTGACAAGGTACCACCGTTGTTTTTGAAACGTTGCTGTTTCTTTGTCAATCCCGCTAACCCAAATTTTTCAAAAATCATTTGATAGTGGAATATTTGCCTCTGCTTAGAAGTTTTCTCACTTCGCAGATAATTTAAAGTTTTTTTACTAGAAACAAAATAACTCTGCCGTGTAGTCCAACCTAAATGTGTTTGTTACCTGGTGTAAAAATAACGCTCTTTCTATAAATTTTTCTCATAGGGCCAATGTCGCCGTTGTATTATTAAATTACTAAATGAAGATTAAAATTGTAATATTAGCCGTTAATTAGTAATATATAACGTTTAATTGATTATATTTAATTTTGACTAATTGTATTTAATAATCTTTGAAAAGACTTTGTTTCACTTTCTGTGGATGAAATAGCCACTACAAAAAAGTGACAGAAACAGCTTTTTAACAGAAAAACGAAATCATTGAGTGGAGACATGTATATTTAAGGAAAATAGTGGACTCAAGGAATCAGCATAAACAGGTATTTTATTTAGATGAAACATGAGTGGAAGAGGACTTGCCCCTAATATTTAGCTGGTTTCAAGAAAAATTATTAACTGTAAATTTTGAAAAAACTTTCTTCGTCCCATTTTCTTCTGATTCTTACAGTCTTCATAGTTTTAAACAAATAATTATTAAAATGGATAATAACAGTACAATGATATATCATACACATCTCACATAAAGTATCTGGGAGTATATATAGACCAAAACATTAAGTGGGACGTACATATAAATTACGTTACAAAAAAACTCAGAATGTTACTTTATAAATTTAGATACCTGTCTCGAATTCTTTCTGTTAAGCAGATGATGATATTATATTACTCACTAATTGAATCACATCTCAGATTTGGAATTGTTGCTTGGGGTGGATCATTAAAAGCACATATGCATAGTCTAGAAATAACATAAAAAAACTTTAATAAAAATTATTTATAAAAAACATTTTACCTACTCTACTGAAGAACTATTTGCAGAAACTCAGATATATGACATCCGTAAGCTGTTCTGTGAATGTCTATTACTCAGACAATTCCAAAATAAATCTGAACTAAAACAAATTGAACATAAGTATAATACTCGGTTAAAAATAAATCAAACGTACCTACCTAAGGTGAAAAAAATCAAATACTCAACGCAGTTTTTGGTATATCGGCCCAAAAATCTATAACAGATTACCTGGTGAAATAAAAAACGTGAACTCGAAATACTTGTTAAAAAAATTAGTTAGAAATTGGATTCATTCACAGTCAAGGAACGATATACACCAAATGATTGAAAACTATTACTTATATCCCTAGCTTCCTGCTTAACCTGTAACATAAACAAAAAGATTTGTATTTCTTTTTAGGAATAAGTATATATGTATATATATTTTTTTTGTTAATGTGCTATTGTTTGTATCCACAACTTCCAGTTCAACCCGTAACATTTTTTTTTCCTTTTTAGTATATAAGAAATAAATGTATTTTATTATTTAATAATGCATGCAATTAAAATAAAGAACTAATCAGCCAGCCAAATATAGAGTCTTACCTTTCACGTACAGGGCTTTCCTTGTGGAGTGTAAGATATCTAAGGAGGCGTTAATATTCTTTAAAAAAAAATATCACACATTATTGACACACTGTATTTTGAAACTGTTTTTTTTTATTGTAAATTTATTGATGTAAATAAACATTATATTATTATTATTTATTATTATTATGAGTTAATGGACATACTGTAACAAAAATTTGGCAAATCCCATAACACACATTTTGGAAATATTTCAAAAATGTTACATTGAAACATTTGTAATGTTAAAATGTTACGAAACATCCCAGAAACATTTCTGAAATGTGCCTGAAACGTAAAAATGTCCTGTAAATATATTTCACAGTAATATTTCTGAAAAGAAAATTTGAAATCTTTCAGAAATATTAAATAGTAATATTTCAGAAATGTATTCTAATTTTTTTTTCTAAAATATTAGACAAAAAAAAAGACATTTAAAAATATACATGTTTATTTAAAATACACAAAACAAAGATAGATTCTTAACAAATAAATAAAATAATTTTTCATAAAATATAAAAGCGAATTGCTTTATTTCCACCAATTCCTTTAAATGCGCTAATCTGAAACAAATAGTTTTTTTTTTAATAAATGTCCCAAGTAAAGAAACATGTACGATTATTACAATCTGATCCCCATACAGCACACATTATTTCAGAAATGTTTCAGAAATATTTCAAACATAACATTTCAAGCACAACTTTCTGAAATATTTTAGTTAAATATTTCACTGAAAATGTTTCTGAAACATGGTATACATGTTACACAAAAGGTTACTAAACGGGTTATGTTGTAAAAGGCCAACAATTAATAGATTTTCTGATTTCGAAGAAGAAGATGGGATATGTAGTTATTTTATTTTATCATTGTATAAAGAACTATAGTAGGATAATCGCCATGTAAAAGTTATTGGAGGCAATCGCGCCCGCCATCTATTGGTACAATCATTGAACTAACGATTTTATTTACTGGTTAGATACGCCCTCTACGTCAGATGTTAGAACTTTATAAGTGACAATTCCGTAAAATTAATTGTCAGTATATATTTTTTTAATTATTTAGAATAAATATAAATAAGTGATTCTTGTGAAGAATCAATAAATAATAGCATTCCACAAGATATTCGTCTATATTTAAAAATAAACTGAGATTTTAATGAAACTAAAAGCAGGCTGATTATCAGCGTTAAAAAGTAAAACTTTTTCATAAGTCTTCATAACGAAAATTTAGGGTACTTGTCTACGAATCGAAGGGTTCCGAGTTCAAACCCCCGAGTGGACACTTTTTTTTTAATTATTTAATTTTATTTTCTAAGTTGGTAAAACTTAAATTAATTTCAAAACATTAATTTTACGTTAATAATCAAATTATAATAGAATATTATAAGGTCAGGTAATTTTATTTAAATCTTTTGACAATGAAACTAAAAATGTGTGTGTCTAAAGGAGAAATATACCGAAAATAACAAGTATTTAAATTTTGCTAATAAATTTGTATTAGGTATGTGTTAAAAGAAAATACATCATTTTGGATTTGAATATACAGTGTGTCGCAAAATGTCTGCACCAAGAAAACGCACAAAATTACATTTTTCTTTAATCTACGTAAAAAAGTGCGAATTAAAATTTTTTTACTAAAAATTTATGGTACCTAACAGGGTTATTCATTATAAATTACCCTCCCTTTATGCTATAATTATTATTGTATAATGTTTACATTGACCGAATTTTGTAAAAATGTCATCAAACGACCATATCAGTGGTGTGCATATTTCACAGGATTTAACATGAATATTTTTTAATAAGGATAGCATAGATATATATATTTTATTCAATTTTCGAAATGATCTTTAATCTTTCCTGATTAATTAAACGTCGAATATCATAGATAATCTATGTCGAATATCTTATAAATATTTACACTTTTTCTTTCTCACTGTAAACTACCTATTTGGATTATTTTATTATCAAACATAATAGTTGTGATTTTCATAGCTTTTACTTTAGTAATGTTAACTTTTTCATGTTTACATTATCAACGTTAATTACTTGAGAACAGACGGTACAAGATAGGGTTATCAATAATATACATTTGTGAAATTAGTAAAAAAAAATATCCCAGAAATTTAATAACATAGAGGGTATCCCATTTAAAAAAGTTTATTTGTGTTGTATTCCGTGAAATCTGAATACGTGTTTTTATGGTATATTTAAAAAAAGTCAGTCATATTCACAAACTTTTATTTAAAGCTTTTTTTGAATATGCAATAGTGGTTATAAAAGGTGTCTTTAATAGTGAATAATCTTGTACATGATCTTAAATAAATTTGTTGAAATTAATTTCATTTGTAAAAATGTCACTTCCACTTCTCCCGTATTGCTAAAAAAAAATTGTCTCCAGGTCCAGGATTTGATGGTGGATAATATTAATTCTAGATACATTTTTCAAGTAACATTGTTCTCCTGTTTTTAGAAATAAAGGTTAATGTTTAGCCAAATTCATATATTTTTTTTGGACACACAGTATGTTTGTATAATATTAAAAACTTCCCCTACTAAATATTTTGGCTCCATCAAAGTAGATATCTTAAATTGATTATTGTTAGAAAAAGTAGAAATAATATTAAATATAATAAAGAAATTAAAAAAATAATTTAATTTAATAATTTGATTTAAAAATTGAAATTTTGGTTTATATGTATAAAAAATTGTAGATTTTAACTGTTTTTTTTTTAAATTCTAATTTGATTTTTTGGGGATGCCACACCCTCCATCTCCCTCTAGGAGATGGTGCGTGGCAAAAAAATTGGAATTTTGTGTTTTTATGTATAAAAAAT